TGGTTTATAAACCACTATGAAAGGATTTACAGAATTTGCTAAGCTAAGACCAAACAATCACATTGTGACTTTGCATGATGCAGAAGCCTGAGTAATCACGAAGAATACTGTCTTAGAGTAGATTTTACTTCCTAGTAACTATGATTTCGACTGAAGTCTAAAATATCTTTCCTTCTTTCTTTTTATCCATTTTAGCAACTACGTTTTATAAAGTTCTCTTAGTACTAAGATCTCTCCCTTTCTGTTAAAATCTTGAAAGAAAAATAGATGAAAGAATCAATAATGGAATGCATTATTTTTTCCTTAAAATTTAAAACTGGCTTAAACAAAGCAAACCTTAATAGGATCAGCAAGAAGATTGGTCTCAATTAATAGACAGCTCAATTTGAATAATTTTCCCTTATTCAACAATAATTTCTCAAACAAAGATACAACACAAAGTCATGCGTGAATAACTTCACAATTTCTATAAAATATGACACTATTAATTCCTGTGTACACTGCTCATATAATGACCAAGAAGAAACAAAAAGGAACTGAAATAAGATTAAATCTCATCTCATGGCTCATTGACCTTCAGCTTTGGTCTTTTAAGTTAGACCTAGAGGTCAAAGGTGATTGTCTGCCCAGAGAATATGTTCTGCATTATGGTTGCTCAAAACATATGGATTAAATTAGGCCTTGGACTCTAATTAAAGTAACTGCTCGATACAACAGTAAAAGAATTAGGCTTTTCCTTTTGGTTAATCCAATTTATGCAAGTACTTCTTTATCAATATTCCAGAACTTAGTACAAAAGTGATTTATTTTATAAAAAGGCTATGTTAAATTGTGTCTATAGAATATACAATATAGTGCAATCTCATTTTAATAAACTAATTGGGGAAAAGGGTTTCTGCTTTTCCCCCAGTCCAGTAAATCAAAGGGTATGTCACCCACAAGGATGCAAATTACATCATTTGCATTATGCGGTCATTATGCAAATAGCATCAAAGGACACAAATGTCACATGTATATTGACTTCACTACAATATACTAGTGTATATTGTACACCACACACTACACACATTATGTTAATTGCATAATGATATTACATATATGACATAAGTTATAACACAGTGTGACCTGTTACATTCGAATTCCATTGCATCAACTTTTGTAAAATCAAAGTTGCGGTATATACAGTTTTAATGATGCCCAATATAAGTATGTTTTCAAATCACAGAAAGTATTAGTTCCACTGCATTCTCATTGGTCAGATACTACTCCAGGTACTCTGTCCTGTTCTGGTCATCATACTTTAAGACCAAGATAAACCGGTAAAAGTTCTTAAAACAGTAACAAGGATGATGAAAGAGCTGGAAAGTAAATCCAGTGAGGAAATATTGACTGTTTATATTTAGCCTTGAGAAGGGAAGTACTAGGATAAATACAATAGCACTCATCTAATATAGGAAGCATACAATACAAGGCCAAGATTTGAATTCTGTTGGTCCTGAATTTGGAATAATGGTCTTAAAGTACAGAACACCAGATTCCAGTTGAATATTAGAAAAAACTTCATAACAATTAGAGCAGTTTTATAGTGGAACCAACTACTAAGAGAGGTGGTGGGTTCCTCTGTATGTTGAACTAGGGATGGATAACCTTCTTTTGGGACTCCTTTAAGTTGGATTTCTGCACTGAGCATAGGTTGGTCCCTTCCAGTATTATGATACTGCGCAGCTTACACAGCATATGAGAAATGGAGCTTCAGCCAGACCCAAGGACACCCAAAATTATATGAGATCATACTGCCAAAGGAAGGCAGATGCTGCTTACATCATATTCATGGACTGAGCATGGCCTACTGGACTTACAAAACAAGTTCCTGACAGATACTAACAAAATGCTTTCAGGAATAGATGTATCATACATTTCCATTGTTTTTAAAGTATTTCTGGATCTACAGTGCAAAGGCACAAAACAGTCACAAGTCATTGCCTACTCTGCAGGCCCCTGACCTCCATGCCTTCTGAGCATGTATGGGTTTGCACAAAAGACACTTCTGTAGGGACAGCTAGCATATACCAAAGACTTAATGGATGGCCTTGAAAAGCCACCCTGGAGCTTCTGAGCCTGCTTCATGTCACATGAGCAAAGAACTTCATCTAAGGATCTGCACAGTCCTCAAAAGCATAAAGAAGATACCCAATACTTTCTTCTGCTTTATTTTAAATCACCTGGGTGGCTGCTGTGCTGCTGCAGTGCCAGGTCCATTCTGGAAATTAATCTGCTTAGGTGGGTGGAGGCTATGAGGTGGAGATCCAATGACAGGAGGAACTCCAAAAGGCACATTTGTTTTCAATACACCTAAAGTAAAAATAAACATATAACAATGGAATGGACAACAATGGAAAATCATTAAAGGGGTACACCATAACAGTTAAAACATAAGTAACGTCAAAGAAATAAATTAATAAATTAAATTACGCAAATAAATACATTCCAAATTATCCAGTGATCTTACATTTATATCAGTACCAAGAAAGAAGAGAAAGCAATAAGCTTTTTCAAAGTTAACTTTGCAGCCACACTAGAAGGGGAGCAGGACCTCGATGAAAGAAGCCCACAAGAATCAGTATTTTTCCCAGGGCTTAAATGCTGAATCAAACACATACAAGCTGAGTTCATAGATCACGTAAACCCTTATTTATTCGAATTATACTTGGTCTGACGAGTTTTTTATGATAATAAATCATTTTCTATGACTCATTACATCCAGAATTCCCCACAAAGATAGTCCTGGCTGAGAATCATGGAAAATGCAACCCATTATTTTTAGAAAGAAGCAGGATAGAACAGACCATAGATAGAACATGAAGTAACTGTACCTGACTGAGATGTAGAAGTTGCTGTATTTGCATCATTATAGTGTCCATGCAGAGGTGAAGAGACTGTTTGTCCAAAACCAGCAGAAAACCCTCCCATTCCTGGCTGGGACTGGGAATATGGAGGTGCTGCAACATATCCTTGGTGATTCATGTCAGCAGTATTTTTTTTTCCTGTTATAAAAATGTGAATTGAATTATTATTATTCTATTGATACATTATAATAGTAAGAAACAGAATGAGATTTTTGACACATCAGGGCCGAAGGAAGTGGTCTATAGACTGTTAATTAATTCTCTTAAGAATGATGGCTTTGGTCTGGACAAAGTACATGACAGTTCTTCCATATCAGGGATACAGATGCAAATTTATGGTTTTACTGTGCAAGTGAATAATATTAATTGGCTTTACTTTATAAAACATGGAATTTTTGCCAGATTGCCTCCATGGAATTTCTCCTCAAAATCTACCTTTTTCTGGATGAAGTCCAGCAACAGACACTTCTTTGGTGTCTGGAGACACACTTTTTCTTATGATTGGGGAAGGAGGAGGAGGATAAATAGTGACATCATCTGAAGGAGCAGGAATTAAATCTTCAACCTTACTTTTTTTTTTTTTTGCATTTATGGGATGAGTGAAAGAAATTGGTAAGTTAAGCCTATTGCAAGATAATCTACCCTTGGTCATGTTTCTTTTGTATGTGTAAAACTATGTACCTGTAATTTAGGAGCACAATCTTAGGATGCTCCAAGAGCAGAAAGAAAAAGACTGGAGGCCACCTGTTGCTTTCAGGACACAAGCTGCTTGTCCTGGCTTTAATCTCTATACATTACTTAAGTAGGACAATGTATGTGCAACTGAAATAATATCCACCCCTCTTCTGATCCATTCCTCAATTTTCTCTCTCCTACTATTTCCCTCTGTCTCATTTAAGTTTTATGTCCCTTTATACCAACTTTTGTCAAATGACACGAACATAGTGAGTGATGTATATAAATAATACCAACAGTAACTGAAACATGTATGTTTCTAAGAAGGTAAAAATTCCCCAAAGCCCGCCCCCCACAATAAGCCAATATGTGGCAACAAATGAATATTTAATCACCAAAGAAGCTTCCAATGTGACATTAAGACCCAGCGCCTACTTGCCCTTACTATCATGCCCTGACTTCATTCTTTTTATACTCTGTTCACCTAACATTGTCTCATTCCCACCCCATAAATGAGAGAGACATTAGTCATTATTAGCTGTACCATTCTAAACATAGCATTTCCCCCCTTATTCCAACATCATCAAAAGAGAGCTGCAAGATGAATAAAACATGTTATGTTGCTCGCCATTACTTTGGAAGCAGTCAGGTGGCCTGGCGTGGGTGTGACTGGTAGTGTTTTCGGGAGTACTGCAAGATGTAGACTTGCCCTCTTCACCCTCTGGTTACCAGCCAATCTCCACCTTATTCACTTCTCTTCTAGCATCTGTTCTTTCATCTTGTTTCCCAAGTTCTTTCCACATCTGTTTTTTTCAACCACAGCTTCTCTGCAGGCTTCCAACCAAATACAGCAGTGTTTCTGAACCATGGCAACTTTAAGATGTCTGGACTTCAACTCCCAGAATGCTGGCTAGGGCATTCTGGGAGTTGAAGTCCAGACATCTTGAAGTTGCCAAGACTGAGGAACAATAAAATACAGCAACAGGAAAGCAAAGCTTCCCAATTTTATCTAGAGCGAGTGTTTATTTGTCCCTTTCCCTCTATTTGTCAGTTTCATCCTTATTTCAATATTTCTTGCTTTTAAAATGGGAGCTGCCCAGGGTCATTCAGAGTCGGGCAGCCTCTAAATCATATATATATATATATATAATAAATAAATAAGCAAGCCAAGCCCTCCCAACACTATGGGGAAAAAAAACACCAAATTGCTCAGCAACTAGTTAATTCTCCTGCTCTACAGGACCTAGCTAGTTTGCCTAACCATGAAGGGGTCTGCCTCCCTGCTCTCTAGGGTTATGGGTGCTCTGTATATTTCTTTATTTTCTACTATTTTAACTTGGGGATGCCCAAATGGAGTTGGGAGAATGGGCAGATAACCAGCCCAGAGAAGGCAAAGACCAAAAATGAGAATTCCCCCAATCCTGCTGCAATGCCCCCACTGGTGGGTGTTCTGCCTACTGGCTGGCAATGCACTGGAAAGGAATGGCATCATAGCCAGAAGAAAAAAGCAATCACTTTGCCTAAGTGATGAATGGTGCAGAATAATGCCCAACCCAGCCTTGGATTAGAAACAATAGAGAAGGACAAGGACTGGCAAGGGGGAAAGCAAATCCTATGAGTTTTGTGACAACTCAAAGATGGCACTACTTCAACTCATAGGCAAGTCTCTGACATGAGCAAAATGCAGTCAGGTACACTTTTCCCATTTGTAGAACCAAAATGTCAACCTCTACAGTTCTATGCCCACTACTTGCAAGGAAACCCTATTTACTTGTTTCATATTACTTACTCATTAGTAGATACATATATGATTTGTTTAGGTTAATAGTTATATAATTGACCTAACTGATGAAGATGTTATTTAAAGTGGCAATTACAGTTTAAAATGATAACTGGATTCAGATTTACTGTAGGAGCAGGCACTTTGAAAGAGGGAAGCAGACTTCCCTATCTATTCTGTTCAATTTTCTGGGATTTTTTTTCCAGTTCAGAAGAGTCCCCAACTTTCTCTGCAGTATGTATGTATATTTGTTTGTTTATTTATTTACTAGATTTATAAGGCCACCCAAATCAAACAATGTGACTCTGGGTGGCATACAACAAACAATAAAACTACCCCAATAGCATTAAAAGATATACAATATAAAAATATAAGATACAAAATAGAAATTGCTACCAAGCACCAAAAACAAAAAAACAAAAAAACCAACCCAAAAGGGGACTCCATAAATGCCTGGGAGAAAAACCAGGTCTTAATGGCTTTCCTAAAGGCAAGCAGAGTTGGGGCCTGTTGTACAGTATATGGGGCTCGATATCGTTCCAGAGAACAGAGGCAACCCCAGAAAAGGCACACTTCCTAGGTCCCAGAAGATGACAAAATTTAAAAGAAGGAGCCTGGAGCATGCCCCCCCTATGGGAGCATGTGGGGCAGGCAGATGTTCTTGGGAGAAGGTGTCCTTCAAATAACCTGGCCCTATGCCACGTACAGCAGGGTTCCTCAACCTTGGCGACATGAAGATATATGGACTTCAACTCCCAGAATTCTGGGTGTTGAAGTCCACACATCTTCACATTGCCAAGGTTGAGGAACCCT